CAACGACATAGAAATGCTGTTGGTGGTCTTGCTCATATATTGGGCGTATATACATTAAATTGTGCTCATTTGTCATGGAATTATATTGCTATAATCAACTATAACTTATCTAGACTACCAATTGCAAGTGTTTTATGTTATTTTTCTATAGTTTCTCTCTCTCTCTATCTATCTATCTATCTTTCTGTCTGTCTGTCTAATTTTCGTGTGTATTTAACTGTCGTTAATGAAGTGATTATTAATGGCAATATTAACACAAAAACCTATCTCCCGATTGAATTTGGGAAAATGCGTGTTTTCGATTTTTTTTTTTTTTTAATAAATTTCATGAATTGAATGGAAAGCGCATATCGAACACTTTATATGGAATCGCAAAAAGATTATAATCAATAACATACATGGGCAAGGGGGATGTAAGCCCGGTCAACCGTTAAATTGTTCCAGCTAACCCCCTCGGCGGCAAGCAAATATTTTTTCGATTTGTTAGGGTTTGTCCGTAAGAAAGTGGAGACATTTTCTGCTCTTCAATTTTGTGCGATATGGGTAAAATTCTTTCAATTTTCCAAGGATGGACCCCCCACCTTAAATTCTTTCCGTGCCCATGTACGATCAGTTAACTTAATATCCCAATGATATCCGTAGCCAGAAGATAATATTCAATTGAATAGCGATAAAATCAATTCATTTTCACCATTAAATGACGGAAATTTTTTAATGTGCAAATGATTTTCTCTGAGAGCAGTTCTTTGGTGAAGAGCTATGCCCCAAAACCAAACTGGCAGCATATAGACATACATACACAACTTTTCAATGTTCTAAGTTGCATGCTTTGTATGATTATTTAAAGGTCAACAAACATGAAATTCCAGAACGTGGACAATCGAGAGAATTCCACCATTTAAATTTCACTTTAAAAAATATTCCCAAAGGGATCTATAGATGTATGCGCGCGCACACAATATGGACCGGAATCATAGTAAATAAAAAATTATTGGACGAAATTTTACATAAATTATTAAGTATGGCACATACCGAGAAGAGGTCGGGCAGTTAGAGACAGCATGCAACGATTGAAACAAGTAGTTTTATCTCAATGTTGCCTTCCCAAAAATACCGTTATATTTGAAAGATGATGAAGAAGTGGCTAAAAAAGAGAGAGCATATAGGTGAATAAGAAAAAAGAGCAAGAGCAGGAGATAGTGAATCCCCATGCCAGCCAGAACACCAAACATATATATGTAGCATAATTTCACTCGCAGTGGCATTCCTCATCTTTCACAAAATGATGAATGACTTTTCAAATAAGAATACATCTTTTTTTCGGTAATAAAACAGACAACAGATAAACAAATCTGGTTGGCCAGTCTTGCAAATGGAAAATCGATTGATTTAAGTGCCAGTATTTCCATCAAACTGTATCGATAGTGATCATTATTGGCGGCCACGCACATTTATGGTGGAAATAATACGCTCAGTTTGAGCGCAATACATTTTCGCCGTTTTTGCGTGCGCGTGTGCACATTCTTGTTGCATGAACGCGTGCTTGAAAATATTAATTCGATGAATGGAATAGAAATGCTACTTTTCTTCTCTTCATCGTACATGCGTACTTAGTTTTTGTTGGTTGTGATCATTGATCATTCCATTAAAAGGTGATAGAAATAAAATGGTTAATTTTTGCTATTGTTGTCATTCAGTTGTTGTGTTTATGATCTTTCGCTGCCATCACTCTCCCGTGTTGTACATATGGTATATGTTGATTTGGTGATTTTGTCGATTTCAATTCGATTGATATGTGCAAAAACTTACAAATAAGTCGTTTTGTGCCACACATTCTGACACCAGCCAATTCATATTCGCGCATATTTTGTACATTTTTGCACCAATTGATATGATGGTTTCTCTTTTTTTTCGTATGCTATTTTGTGTCTCATATGCTTCTGTTTCTCTATGCACTATGTACACATCCATTGAGCACATTCAGTCGAACAAAAACGACTCGAGTATTCTTGAGACACAACTGTGTCGTCGACGATAACTAGTCGTTGTCTCTTTGTTACGTGGCTTGGCAACAGTATATGCTGGCTTACTGCTGTTTATAATGTTTTAACTGAATTTGATGCTTTTCCGTGATACCGTTCGCATATGAGTGGATACACGTGTGTTTTTGGTCTTCCATCCAGCGAACAATTTCTATGCTGGCTAAGTACCACGAAAATTGCATTAAAAACCAACTAAAATGTCATATGACCATTCGGATATTTTAAGTTTTGTTTGTATTTTTCATTCCTTTTGCATTTTACCATGCACTGGCTACCACTTTTATCCAAATTTGCCATTATGTACTTTAAACTATCTCTCTCTCTCTCTCTCTCTCTCTCTCTCTCTCTCTCTGCATATGGCGAAGAAAAAAATTCCTCTTGTGTTAAGTGTAGGCCGATGGTAATTGAATTTACTATATAACCTTCGTTAGCCAACTCTTTTCATTTCGATTCTGTAACATGGTTTTAGTTTCAAGTGTTAATTCTGTCATTCAGACTTTTATTTTGGCAAATTAATCAAAGAACCGTGCAAAAACGAACTCTCATGCATCCATAAATTCAGTGTTTTTCATCAGTAATTTTTCATCAACCGTAAACGACGATATGAAATAGGGAAACAAGCGAACAAACGAGAAAAAAAGAGTGAAAAAAGTGAAAAAAAAACTTACACACATCTCCAACGGCATTCCATCAACAAAGACCTGCCCTGACAATAAACAAATCACGTTTTATCCAATTCCAATTGAATGTGTTTTTTTTTCTTTTTTGCTTGTTCATTTCGTGTTGAACCGCTATTGATGCGGACACACGCGCATTCAAACAAAGTAGAAAACATAACAAGAATGAAAAAAATGACGACGATGACGATGAGCGACGAAAGTACACGCATGTAAGTGGCCTGGACAACACAGAGCAAGAAAGAGTCCCCCCCCAACCCACCTATATGTGTATGCAAAGAGTACGAGTTGAGCTAGAAAAATAAATTCAAACATGCTGTCATCATAAGAAGGTAAAAGTGGATTATATTATATATATATTGGCGAAAAATGACCAAGACAATAAGCATTTCTTTTAAACGCTTTTAAAGTACTTTTCAATGAACGAAATGAAATGGAATGACAAAATTAAATGCAAATTGTACAAATTTTACAATGTACAGTGTATATTCGAATCGTTTATATCTGTCTAATTATTAAACTAGAACGTTACGCGCTGACTTTTGTGCGCTTGTGAATGATGATCGTTTAAAACAATATTAATATCACATAAATGTACATATGGTTGAGCGCACAATTGCTCTTTGTCCAACTTTCTCTACACACGGACAAACGAAATTGACTTTAAAAGTAAGTTAAAGAAATTTTCAACAAAATTTACCAACAAAAAAAAAACAGCAACCAACGACGTTTTTTGTTCTCTCTTGTCAATAGTGTAATTTATAAAGTCAACACTTAATCGACGCTGTGGCATTCGTTGGCGCATAATTTAATTAGACAGTATGACTTATTTATTCAATTGATATTTTACTTATTATTCATCATGTGCATTGGAATTGGTTTGTGTTGTTTTTTTTTGCATTCACCGGTGAAATTGCACGCAGTTCAGCTTACGATTCTTTATCGGGTCATTAAACGATGATAGTGGACGATAATCGAGACCAAAATCGTTTATCACGAATTAGTGGTCAATTTTCATATTCAATGCAAACACAAATGGCTACGCACATCAAAAGAATCAACATTACACTTACTTATTAGTTTCAAAGAACTGCATACAAAAATGACAAAATCATATAATAAGAATTGACGTAAATCTATCTTAAATTCGTTTTACAACATTCGAAATCGAAAAATAGTGTTTTTAACATTCGGTTAAAAACTTAAGCCCCTGGAAAATGTTTCCCCAATTCAAATAGATTCAATTGTTGCATTCTAATGCAGCATTCTTCAAATATTTTAATATTTTATCATTGCTGATTTTCACAAAGAAGAATAAAAGAATTCTGTGCAAAAAAAACAGTCTAACGGATTTATAACAAAGAAATTGTTCCATTTTGTTTTATTTTCACTTGTTTTCCCTTTCATCAACACATTAAAACAGAAATAGATGTAAACCAATTCTTTGAAAATTAAGAATGTTTCTGTTTTCATTATCAGTTTAATACTTGAAAGCAACAGTTAATTTTTTTATTTCAAAATTTCCTTTGTTATAGCAATCGGAACATCTATTTTTGAAATTTCCGTTTAGAATAGCTCGATTAATTAAAACCAAATATTTTTTCCTACACTTTATAATAATCGTTTAGATTACACTTTTGCTAAATTGATCAAAGTGTAAAAAGTTTTCTTAAATTAAATTATTTACATTTGATCAAGTTCAATGGGAGCTTTTTATTCAAAGCTTCTATTTTTAGTACATTATACCGATTGTACTAATTCACAAGACGCTCACGACATTGCATGATGTAAATCATATTGATGTATCGAAAATTGTTGCAAACGCCAGAAATCAATATTTTTTTTTTGTAAAAAATATTTGAATGGTCGATCGACAATCCCTGATGAGATATATTTTTGAAGAATTCAGTGATACAGTAGTTCGAATTTGGAACGGAAATGTTGCTTGAAAAAATGAATATGTTTTTAACTAACATTTTCTAATTTCCAAGTTAAATATGTGTTTTTAAATACAGTTTGAACTATTTTTCACGTTTAAAATCTAATTTTACTAATCAAGCAAAAACCCACTAGATTATTTACAAACCATAACAGACCAAGTAGATATGTAGTTTGCATGCTTATTGCATTGAAATTAAACTATTCAAAATAAGTATTTTCATGTGAAAAGTGTTTTTATATTCACAGAAAACATTTTTCATGTTTTTTAAAACACATTACATCGTATCCACGTTTATATGAAATATTCATTTTCAATGAAATGAATACAAACAAAACTGAATCAATTGTTGATATCAAACGAAAGCAGTTTATTACGAAAGCAAAACACATTTTAGTTTTTGAAGTTTGCGTGTATGCCAAATAATACATTGCTAGATGTCATCAAATCCTTATACTACCACTGTTCTCATGTGTGGATTTGGTTCAGAATGATGTTTAGCCCTATAATCAGCAACGAATTTCTATAAAGAAAAACCGATAAAACCGCATGTAATAAATATTGTTTGTGGAATGAACGTGAAACGCGAAACTTCGATAAATAATCAAATTAAATAATTTAAAAACACCTTAAATTGAGTTTACAATATAAAGAAATTTATTTAAAGAATTTTTAAAATATTTTCGCAAATACTTTTGCTCCCTGTTCTCTTTTGTGTGTTGCTGAAGATGACAAATAAATTTTGTCGAAATGCATACAAAAGTTTACAAATTCATTAAATAAATTTCTTTTTATTGTGAACTCAATTTAAGGTGTTTTAAATTATTTAATTTGATTATTCGCATGTAATAAGTTTGTTTAGAATTGGGACTCACCTTCGGATGATGAATAAAATCAAGATGATGAGAAACTAATGTAAAAACCGCAGGTAGACCTTCTTCGCTAAAGGACGCTAAACCAAGTAATTCGTTATTTTTTGTAATAAGGGGTCCTGCATTTTAAATAAAAATAATAGTGAAAGAGAACATGACTTTTTACCAAAAATATTTGCAAAATCCAAACCTCCTGAATCGCCTTTGTTTAAAATACTGTTTCCATTAAGTGTACTAATACAAATTTGAGTTTTGTCTATTTTTGGCACATTAAATCCAGCCCATATATCTAATCCATCTACGTTATATTTTCTCAAGAAACCTTCAAGAAATGTGTGGTAGTCATTTTGACATGTATTGAAATCCGAAATTGTTGAAAACACTAATTGTAAAGTGTGGCCGTTTATATTTGTCTCGTCAGAAATCACTTGAGGTTTTGAATATCCAAGGGCATAAACTTCTTCTCCCGGTTTCGGTACATAATTTCTTTTAACCAATTTTATTTCATTTATTTTATTGACTTTGAAATTCAACCTTTTATTAAGTTCAAACACGACTAAATCGTTGGATAATGGAAGCATATTATCATATCCTGGATGTATTATCATTTCATCTTCAGTAACATTCACGATGCCATAAGGCATACTGGTATTTAATGTACCTACTATCAAAGTAGGCAAAGTTCTATTATATACACAATGCGCAGCTGAAATCCATAAGGAATTTGTATTTAAGCTATCGTTTAATACTTCAATTGCCTTTTTCGCTCCGTACCTGAAATTATTTTTGATGGTGAAATGATAACTGCGCCACAATAAGGAACCTCTCCAAACGTCTTTATTATTCCAGACATGTAGTTAAAATATTCGATTTTATCCACCAAAACGCCACCAACAACTGCTTCTACGCCAAGTCCGACTGCATTTCATGAAAATGCATTTAAAAAAATAATATAAAAATAATGAATAAAATTTGAAGCACGTTAATGAATATTCAATTCTCAAAGTTTAATTTAAATTGATTCTTTTTTAAATTACTATCAAATAGACTCTTCAAATAACTACCTTTTGTGATTTGATGAAATACCTATGAAATATTAAAATTTAAGTTATAGGTTTAAATAAAAGAATTAAAATTGAAATCAAAATGAAATAAAAAAGATCACATTTTGACATCATGTAACAAAATCGTAAAAAAATACAAATAGAATAAATTTTTTGTGTAATATTATTTCAAATGAAATAATTTGATTTACCAAATATTCAGCCAGGCAAAATATTGCGAATGACACACAAAACGAATTCATTGTTTTTGTTGTGATAATGTAACACTTTTTTTTCAACTGTGTATCGTTTAGATGATAAGTTAGAACTTGAAATTTGTGTATGAATATTATGCCGAAAGGCAGCTTTAATATACTGCTTCGACAGAAAACAGTACATATCAAAAATTCTTTTTAAATTCATTGAAACACGTGTAAATATTCGCATTCTTGATTGCTTTAGCTCTCCCATACAAAATGACCTGTTAAATGATGGAAAATAGTCAGGAAACGCTCACCTTCGATAGCGGGAAAAATTTGGGAAAAATTCTCTCGATTTGCTAGGCATTTTCGAACTGTCTTTTGGTAAGTCAATTTTTTCCGATTTTTTTCATGCGAAAAATTCTTTCAATTTCTAGAATTTTTTTCCAATTTTTTTCCATTATTTGTTCAATTTCCAAAACGGTGTATCTGTTGATCAGCCGCGTGATACCGTTAACGTCCAATGATGTTTGGATTTCATCTAAGCCTATTATTGTTAGTTTATATATAAAATTCTATAATTAATTAAAATATAAATATAAGAAGTATGAATGGTGGTGTATTATTATTGAACCTACGTCGGCTCAAATTACTCGGACCAGGCAGTTCACCGATGATGTCACCATCGTACTCTACTTCTTGTACGGGTCCGACAATTTCTTCAACGTCTTGAAAAACGTCTGGATTTGGCACCGCTGGTGCATTTGGATCTGCTGTCGCTGGTGCGTTTGGATCTGCTGCCACCGCTGGTGCAACAACATTTGCTGCCACTGGTGCGTTCGCATCTATTACCACCGCTGGTGCGTTTGGATCTACTGCTACCGCTGGTGCAACATTTGCTGCCGCTGGCGCAACAACATTTGCTGCCGCTGGTGCGTTAGGATCTGCTGCTGCTGCCGCCGCTGGTGCGACAACGCCTGCCGCTGCAGCTAATTGAGCAACAACAGCCGGTGGTTCGTCTTCCACATTATGGCCAGGTAACGCGGGCCCAACCGCAACAACCTGCGCTAAAGCAGCACGTGCCGCATCGAATGCACGTTCCCGTTGGAAATGATGTAGACGCCGACCGAGAATTTTACGCACTACTTCATAGTTTGAACCAGCTCGCCGATTCGCTGATTCCATGCGGAAAAAGTTGAGAATGCTGACGACATGATTAGCACTACCATCGTTGATGCGATTTTGCCGTATTTGATTGTCGATATAATCGACAACAACAACGCGACGAACAAGATTATTGCGACGATCGTAAAAATTGCTCCTGTTAGAGAATATTTTAAATAGTATTAGTTATTTATAATGCATAGTTTTTTCTTTTTTATTCCAATTTTTCAATATATATATCACTTTTCATCTTTTTTTCTTTTTTTTTTTTTTTCTTATATTTTTCAATTTGTATTTTTCAATTTGTATTTATCAATTTGTATTTTTTCCTCCTGAAGTTTTTTTGCTAGCCTATATGAATTTTGACTTTTTTTTATTTACCATCAATAGTGGAAAATCATTTCTGAATTTGCGTGAAAACCTGTTATTAATGGAACCTGAGTATAGTGGAATTCATTTCAATAGTGGATAAAAAAAATGCCCGTGGGATTCCGTTATTGAAAGGTTATTATATTATTATTTATTCACCGTCAGATCACAACATGTTCACAACCGTCAGTTCGCAATGAAACACCACCCGATCGTATACCCAGTCACCAGACTTCTCGACTTCGGAGCAGCAGATATCGATTGTGTTCACTGTTTCAATTTCTATATAACACATAAAAGTTAAAGGTTAAATTTTTCACCGAACAAATATCACATTTTCCAATTTAACAATATTATTTCTAAAAATTTGCCTTGATGCCGATTGTTTGTGTGGATATTCTGACGTAAATATTCTAACTCTAATCAGTTTGGTATTTCTCAAATTTCTTTGGTTCTCATTATATTGCAGTCTTGTATATAAAATTTTATCTCTAAGTGTAAAAATATAGAGGCATTTATATGCCGTCTCCAAAGCGGTTGAATTTTCAAAACATCACATCACATCATTCTCATATCTCTGATATACATATCGTAACGACCAAATGACAAAATCTTTTTGAATTGATTCTATTCTATCGGAGTGGATACGATGGTATGGAATTTTGACCTAACTAGTGCACAATATAATATTTTTGCAGATTCGATCGTTTGATGACACCCATTGCCGCATGTGCACTGGCTGTAATCGCATCGATGTGATCGGTGAATGTTAGTTTTGTGTCGAAAATAATACCGAGATCCTTGTGCATTTCGGTCCGTTCAAACGTATGATGGTTTTACTGTATGATTTTAAATATTTGCTGATACATATTTAAAATCCCATTCAATAAATCGATGTGGTTTTTTTTCTAGATATTATTCTCTTTGCATTTCGAAATGAAATTGAAAATGTCTTTTTTAATTCATAAATACCAAAAGTAAAGTATTTTGAAATGAAAAAGACATTTCTTGAATAATTTTCAACATTGACTGTAAACTCAACGACACCAACAGCATCAACAATAAACAGTCGGTAGAAATCACAATGCAAATTATTCCACATTTTCATGAATAAAAAATCAATAAAAATGATAATTATCTATAAATTTAATTTAAATATGACGATTTCATTTTCATTTTATCTTGTTTACTTTCAATTACAGTACGAATCTATTACATTTTTCGAATGTCAATAAGGTATTTTCGTCATATTATTAGTACATCTAATGTTTGCGTTACATTCTGCACAAAATTAATGATTGCCCATTTCAAATATTATATCTCTCTTATTCAAAATTGTTTTAATTCCACATTTTTAACTGAATAATATTATTAAACTTAAAGTTTTCTGTATAAAATGCTTTTTCAAGTTTACATTTTTAGTACTTGCATGTATAATTGTATACTCATCGTGTTGCTCACGCACGACATTTATATGTCTGACAGATACTGTCAAACCAGTGCCGCTGTCAAACAAATGCTGCTGTCTAATAACGCGATCTATCATCATAGCAAAATATTGCATTTCAGTTATTTCGTTCGCAAATTATTTCGTATATACAACAGAATTGTTTTTAAATTGACTGTCATTTCATCAAAAAATCAGTGTAGAATGTATATTAGTTAAGTAATTCAGTGCATGTTTGATCAACAAAAGTGAATGTTTGCCACATAAACAAAAAAAAAAAACATAATAGCCATCGATGGTACAGACCAAACAGTTTAAAATCTAAGTTGAGGGAAAAAAACTTTTTATAATTTCTTTAAAAAAAATCAAAAATCAAATTTTCAATCAATCGAATGAGTTATAAAAATGGAATCAATTCAAAGCGAATCTACAAAACTGAATGTTCGAACTAGTGCAGAATATGAAGAAAAAGATGCGGGATCAGAGTCAAACGGCGATACAGTGGTGTTGGAGTCGAAACTCAATGATGAAGATATTTGCATGAATGTCGAACAAGAATCGAATATGAACGAGAATTCTAGTCACGAATTAAACGGAAGTCACGATGATATTGATGAAAACAATTGTTTGGTACGTCTTGTGTTTAGAGACGAAACGGTATTTGATGAACTGCATCAAGTCATTGGCCAATGCGTACGAGATGCATTGTTTTTGTTAAAAAAATCTGCCAATTTAATCATTGACAAAAGCGAAAAATGTGTGAAAGTGACGGAGATTTCAGCTAAAAATGATGATAATATATTTATGGTTGACACTTTACCGACGGAAAATACAAATACATCTGAAATTCCTGATTATAATTCGAGCGCAATTGATGTACTAAATGATGAGGAAGAAAAAGAAGCAGACCCAAATGCTGGTGATGGTGATGAGAGCAAACGAAAAACTGGCAATTGTTGGAATTGTGGCGGTGATCATAATATGAGAGATTGCAAAGAAGAACGTGATCCGGATGCAATAAATCGAGCCAAACAATCATTTATGCAAAAAACAAAAACGGAACGTTATCATTTGGAGGCCGAACAAAAGTATAGTCATTTAGTACCTGGTAAACTAAGCGATAATTTACGACAAGCGCTTGGTTTGCGTTCACGTGAATTGCCCATGTACATTTATAAAATGCGATTGTATGGTTATCCGGAAGGATGGCTTGAAGAGGCAAAAATTAACCATTCCGGATTGTCATTGTTTCACTCGGAGGTAAAATTTTGGAAAGATTTTTTTAAGGTTATGGTGTGTATTTTTTTATCTTAATTTTATGTTTGACTCTTTTTAGATGATAAACAATGAGACGGAAGATGGAGATGAAAAGGTTGAATATGACCCAACAAAGTTCATTGAATATCCAGGTTTCAATGCGCCAGTTCCATCGAATTTGATTGATGTAAGGCATTATCTTTGATTTGTTCGTTTTCTATGAAAAACGTTAAACCCTATTTCTATTTTGCAGGACGGTGATTACTTCCGAGTGCCACCCATGTTGTTCGAACATAGCAAAGAAGGTTTGATTCAATCGCTGCAAAATAATTTGACCAAAACTTATAAGCGAAAGCGTCTAAAGCTTGATGAAAACGATAAATCGGTCACACAAAATGTCAAAGACGATGATATGGATATTGAGGAAAGTGATGATGAAAGCACCAATTCACCGGAAGTACTATTACCACAATCACGACCAAGTAACGATGAAACAAACTCAATTTCTGTACCTGATGTCGAACAAGAAGCATCATTACTTGAATTGGAACGTAGAAAAGAAGAAATTCGACGTGCACTGGAAGATGCTGAAGATGGTTCAACGGATTCGAATTCAATATCAAATCCAAATGGTCAACAATATGATGCAGATGTCTCCAAAAATATGATGCAACCAAAGGAAAATGTTGGCACACAGGAAAATGATCAGAATAAAAAAACATCCGGTAGCAATGAAAACAATGGCAAATCAATTGAATCGGTTAACGAAAATGCCGAAATCAGCATTTGTATTGAACAATGTGAAGTAAATGCATCGATATCGACACAACCATCAACACCATCGACATCTGGTCAATCGAGGGAGTCAGTGTTTGGAACGCCACTTATAAAGCAAGTGTCACCATATACACAGTTACCGGTTGGTGAAAAGTGGTCAGTTGGTGTAACGGATGTCATCGATTTCGAAAATTTACCTGATGCAACTGGGACATATCAAAAATTAACGGGTGTCATTAAAAAGGTGCGAACGGTCATCAAACGAATAAATGATGACCAGGAGGATGACTCCTCATGACACAGCATCTCCATCGATATTGATGATGAACACGATGAATCCGATTAATATTCAGTCGTTTCAAATTCAAACGAAATAAGAGAAAAACAAAAGATCGGGGAAAAATCATTTTTTGTAAAACAAAATTAGATCAATTCTCAAGCTCAATGGAGCCATTTAATAACAATAAATAAAAAAAAATAGAAAAAAATATAGTTTTGATTTTTAATAAAGATTCATTTTTATTTTTGTTTATCAGTTTTTCTTCTTTCAGGTGTGTGTAATTAAATAATACTTGTTTTGTGTTCTACATGTACATTAAATTATACTGATTTATACATAAGTTTATTGTGTAGCTGTGTGTATTGGTTGGTGTACTTGTGATATATCTTTGATGTGCAGCTTGTGAATTTTTTTAAGTATTTTTAATTTTAATTTTTTGTAGGTGGAAAACAATCTAAAAAAAAGTCGAAAGCAAACAGTGTTTGCAAAACCTAACGCGCACAATTTAAATCTTCAATTCGTGGTGTCTCACTTCAAAATCGCGATAATCGCGCACACAAATTTTAATATGTCTAAAAGCAAACGGAATATTCTAATCTAATTCGATCAATTTGTTGTGGTTTTTCTTCCCTTTTTCTACACAAATTTTACACAGGTGGTGATAATAATATTATTTAAAACGTTACGTACAATCGGAACAAAAAGATTCTTAACTCTTAAAAAAATCATATAGTGACTAGCTTTGGTCGCTCTGCATGGATTAGATTGCAAGATAATTGTTGTTTTTTTTTATTTAAAAAAAGCAGACACAAGCGCTAAACTAAGACAGTTTTAGCGCTTGGTGTACAAAGAATGGTGGACAAAAATTTTTTTGTCCCTTTTATTCTATCTTTTTTTCAACTACTATTTACCGCTCATGAATTTTATTTTAAGAAAAATCCACCAACTTTGCAGAATATAGTTGACAAAATACATGTTGAGAGCGCGATTGAAAATAAAAAGTAAGTATTTGAAATATAATTTGTGTTTTTGTTTCATTTTTTTAGCTTAGGCCAGCTTAGACTTAGAGAATTTCATTGGTAAAATTAGAGTTTATGACATAAATTAATACTCCATTCTATTGCTATATGTTCTTTTTTTTTGTTAACATGCAACATCACTCGATTCGGCAATGTAGTTTTATTTTTTCGGTTGCTTATTTCATTTTCAATGTTTAATTGGTTTTTGTTTGTTTTTTCTTTTGTTTTGGACTGAGGATACAGTATTTTCTCTGCCTCTAACTAAATAAATTTTTTGTTTTTATTAATGTTTAATCAGTCTATGGATTGGATTTAGTTCATGCACATTGTGATTATCATCCAAGATCGATGCGCACGCTACCTGCGCACTTTTAATGTGAACAAATGATGTTGGTGATGATGATGATTATTATGATGGTTTAATGAGAACGTGCGCGTGCGCATTCGCTGGCACTCGATCTTGGTGAGAATATAATTGTAGAATGACATAAAGTATACGATAACCGTACTGCTGTGAAACTGAGAATGTATGTGTATGATGCATGCAACATGCAACATTTGGGCAATTTTTCTTTTCACTCAATGGAAAAAATTAATTGGTTTTTTCTTTCTTTGTTTCTTTGTTCTCGTTGCCGTTTGCGGTCGATTTTCATCGAACATACTAGAAATGTTTGTGTTGATTATCTTCTCTTTTTTTGGGGGAGAGGGGGCTGGATTTATAATTTTGCACATTGTTTTAATCAACAGCGGCAGCACAGCATCGGCAACAGCAAAACACCGTTGCAAATGGACTCACACTGTGTGTCCAACAAGAAGCGCGCGCGCACACAATGTATAACATTCAAATGTATAAAATCTTAAAGCAATTTAATTATTTCTCATTATTTCATCTCTTCACCTTATCAATTAATATACATGTTTCTATCTTGTTTCGCTTGAAATTTTGCAGTTTGATAGCTTTGGTATTGTCGAGCTTTCATGTATCTCAAAATGTGATATCGATGTGTACGAGTGTCTCTTAACATCGAAATCATTTTTGAGATTTGTATGCATTTATACATTTTACATTTCCATCTTCTATTTCCATTACATTCCTCGATATATGTTCATTTTCACTTTTCATTTCATTGGTTATAGTATATATATATATATATATATATATGTATATATTTATTTACAAAAATTAGCTGCTCAATTCCCTTCATTTTTCTCACTATTTTTTTTTATTTGTAACTTTTACTGCACTCTCTTCTTTTCTCTTCGTTCGGCATCATATTCATAAATCATTTCGTAAATTAAATAGAGTTAATTTAATAATAGTAGGGTTTTTTGTGTGTCTATGTGAACACATTCAGTTGTTTTTTTTTTTTTTCATTTCTTGTTACTTGTTGCTTCTGCGCTTTGCACGAAGAGCAGCACATATTCGACAAAACAAAAACAATAAGTTAATAAATTAAACTAAATTATAAATTTGATTTAATAAAACATTGTTAATTTAAAAAAAGCGGTTCATTCTCTTCTCAGGCGATATTCCACTTTGGAATGAAAATAAAATAATAATAATAATAATATAATAATAATCATATATTATATCCAAAAGAATGGTTTGCACGGAAGGATTGGTTGTGCAGCTCAAGTCTTCGCCACCACCTTCAATTAGCAGCAGCAACAGTAGCAGCGCGGCAACAGCAATATGAGAGTGGCAGCAATACAACGATATATATGTATCGGTAACAACGGTTGTGCAAATTTCAATGGTCTCGTGCACAATATGAGAGGATGAATGCGAATCGCCATACATATTGAATGGTATGATTTCATTTCTCTTTTATATACGCTCATGGCGCAATCCAGTCTCTACACTCTTCGCACAAAACGTTGTAGCAGTTGCTGCTGTTGTTGTTTTATTCATTCAATCATTCATTCATTCACAATTCGAACCATTGTTTTCATTTTCATATAAAACCATTAAATAACCGTTCTTTAAGTACTTCCGGGTTTTCTTCTAATTTTTGTATGGTGATCGTATTTAATACATTATAGGCGATGGCAAATATTGTGCACGCCGAATAAACGCCCAGCGCAATCCACCAAATCAGTTGTTCGTGTAATTTTTGTTCGAAACTTTTCAGCACCAACAAACCGATGGTAAGGCCGGCCAGTGCTCCTGTTAAATGAGCGATGTATGAAATGGACGGCGCTGTTGTTGGTTCAATTGCATATCGATTGTAAATGGCAAAACCCACATCAAATGACGCTATAATTTCGGAAATAAATTGAGAATAATTCATTGATTAGTTGAATGCAATGCAAACTGAGTTCAGATAAATAACAAAACGCAAACAACATCGATTGAATTGATTTATAGAGAAATTCTAACGAAGCACAAAAATCAGAACGCGTGTACTAGTTTCAATTGTTTGTCTATTGTCTATTTAAAGCTCAAATCTATATCAAATACACTTACCAAATAGAAAAATGCCGACAATTCGAATGATGCCATAGTGCATGTTGTTGTAGTTAAGCATGACATTAGCCAAATGTGCTGCCAACAATGCATATACACCACCGCTTGCACCGACTAAATACACTTCAGGATCGAATACGCTGGTGCCCATCGAACCAGCTAATACACCGGCCAAATAAACGCAACCGATGCGCGTTGAACCATGTACCATTTCTAATGGTAAGCCCACCAAGAGTTGTACAATTAGATTGAAAGCCAAATGAAACCATCTGGAACACATCATCGTAATTTAAGTTGAGGAGAAGAACGAATGGAAAGGAAAAAAAAATGAAACGATTCGGTTAGAAAAAAAAGTAGCCGGTTAAAAACAATAAGCTGAACAAATTTATCGTACAACAATACATAGTGCCACTGCGGTAGTTGGTCGTCAAATATAGTTTTCTTCATTCTTTTTTTTTACCACACATTCTCTCATCAAACCGTGCATTTGAAATGGAAATTAGTCAATTTTTTTTCTTCACGCGCCACCGTATTTTCGATTTTTCTTTTCACACATTTTTTTTTTAAATCGAACGTGAACAAATATCATTTGCTATGTGTGAGTGTGTGAAACGCTTGGATGGTGACGACAACGACGACGTCGATGACGATCTAACATGCAAAATGCAACTGACACCATCGATAAATGTTGTACGATAGAATGTGTTACGCTTCAAAGAGCATTTATTTCATTGTTAGTAAAAGTTCAAACTTACCCGGCATGTAAAACCATATACGTTCCAAAACGCCATATTTCTTGTCGTTTATCGGGTCGATAAATGAATAACGAATCGATTGGAATTGGACCGGCTGGTTCAAGTTGTCCAGACCAATAGTAGGCGAAAAATCCCAACTGTAAAAATGAAAATGAACAATGGGAATGTATTAATAAACGGTCTCGCTGAAAACTTTGTATGTTTTTAAAAGATAAAATGGAATATTGCACCGATTGTTTCACGGTCATTGTTTTTTCTTTCGTAAAATGCAAATATAATCTGTGTCTTTTTTTTTCTGTCAAAGTGATAACAACAAAAGTGAAAAGAAAAAAATAAAGAGGAATTGGCAAAAAACGGTATCCAAAAGTTCATTCGCTCCATTTGTCTGGATAGTCTTCCATTCGTATGGATGCAAAATGTATGATGATAGTTATGGTCAAAAAAGAATATAAATTTTATTTGGCGACGCCGCTCATTTCAATCTCTCCTGTATTTTTGCTCTATTCATCGATCTTATTTCGTTTCAATCTCCTTTCGATCGTTTGTGTTTTCGGTACGTTTTTCACCATTTTTGTTTGTGTATGCAGTTTCAGAGTTCAAAATAAGAAGAAAAAAGGGAAAAACAGACGAAACAGAGAAGAAAAGAAGAAGAAGAAGAAGAAGAAAAAACAATACGAAACACGCGCTTAGCCTGTGAGTGAGTGCGAGCTCACGTCGGGATCGTTTGTTAATGGTTGGCTTTTGCGCCGTTGTATGTTCATCAGCCGATGATACATAATTTGGATAATTACAGGTTGATTTTGTTTAATAGGTAGCAACAAAATGGAATGGAAAACTCTATCAACTATTCACATTGCGATCATTCGATATCAACAAATCGAGAAAGAGAGAGAGAGAAAAAAACACACATGCATACAAAAATTGGCCAAAAGATTAACACTTTATACAATATATTGTGTTCTTCGTTATTGCTTTTTTTTCGTTGAGAATGAAAAAAAAAAGTTGCACACGTACAGTTGGGGGAAAAAGAAATATGTTTATGTATCATAGCTGTACAACATCATCATCATTATCATCATCTTCACCGGCCGGTGCATTCCGTTGGAAGAAAAGTTATGTTAATATACGCTTGCTCTCGGCAATTTGACTTTGTCCGTTCCATTCCGCGTTGACGATTTGTTTCGTCGCGGTGCGAACCAAACAAATGACCGAGAAATAGTGAAACAATGTCGGTTAATCGAATTGAATTGATATATGCATAAGCGCCACGCATGTTTTTTTCCTTCAATTTTTTGTTTCGTTTTACGATCGCATACGATTCATGACAATCTCATTCTCTAATTTCGTATTTATTTGAATTTGTTGTCAATGTTTCCACGCATCTACCAACGCCACCACACCGTTCGATTCGTGTACTTTGGCTCTTCAGGTTTATTGATACATCAACATTGTATGTTTTAATGCAATTCCTAGAAAACAAATGCGTTTTTGTCGCGTTTTTTTCTCTTTTTCATTGTACTGTGTCTATTTTTTTTTATTATTTGTGATACATACTAGTACATGTATTTGCATTTGTGTTTTCCGCTTTGCTATATCTCTTGTCATTTCATTTTGCATAATATCGTAACACACCTTCGGAGAATTTATACTAACACACAACGAATTGAATGATATGCACGATGAATGGACAAAAAAAAAAACGAAGACAGGAAACAAACAAATGCATACAACTTGACCACGAAAAAAAGTGAACAACAGAAAATCGACATGCTTCTTATTTTTTCGAATTGTGTATTAAAAAATGTTTTAGTTTTATATAAAACAGAATGGAATATTCATGCATTAGATTGTTGCAAAAGTAACAGCAGCGGTGGCGGCGGCAGAAGAAACGCCTCAATAAAATATTTTAAAAAGGTGAGCGAGCGCATACAAGGAGCTATCGAGTTGAATGAACAATAAGAAACGAATTGATATTAAGGTGTTGAGAGATGTGCAATGACATTATAAACAGGCGAATATAATTGAAAGAAATCGTCGATTTGCAGAAAGAACAGAGAGAGAGAGAGAGAACAAGGTCTATTGTATTAATTGTTTCCTTTTTTGTGCGCACATTTTTTGTGAGAAAGGAAATGCATGTTTTTTGTTTTGTTTTCTCCTTGATGGAGGTATGTTAATGAAAGAATAAGAGTGAAGTAAAAAGAGAGAGGAGATGTTTGTACGCTAGCGAGTAAAGACTCAATGAATTAATTAAGTGTTCTTTGACACTTGAGCTTGCGCACAATCATGATGAGAATTAAGTTCAGTATGGCATGGCGGCGATTCATTTGTGCTAAATTTATATTTTCATCAAAACAATTAATCATGCGATGTAATCATGTTTGAAAAGCGTTGAATGTATTAGGCAATCAACTGTGCAATTTTTTATTTATTTTCATCCGTTAATCCCCACAAAACACAACACATACAAGCCAATGTTGTTTTCAACACATAATCGCCGTTGACTTCTTGCATTCGCCAATGTGGAGAGTATTTTGTGTGATGATTGCATGAGCAAAGCGCATATCAACCTTATTAAGACAGTTTCATTCTCAATCTTTCACTTATTCTCTTTCATTCTCTGTCTTCCTCTCATCTCTCTCTCTCTCATTCTCTCTCTATAGTTATATGCCGCCGACATCAACCACGCATTTCCGTTCCAAAATTTAAAAAAATTTGCAGAAAAAACATTTTTGCTGGAAATTGTCAGATTGTATTAGTTTGAGTTGTTTTATTTCCACGGCTAATTAATCGATTTACGTAGCCCATCCTTAAAAGTTGCGCGAGCGCATTTTTTATATTGCCATTTACAAAAAAGCGAAACATTTAATTATGCGCGTCTATACCTTTTTCTACGTTATTCATCGTGTTTGTTTTTATTATCTATTGTTTTTTTTCTGCAGTTTTTTTTCGGGAAATTCGAATATGATTCAAGCCAATCAAACAAAAAATCGAACGCATAAATCATTGGTTTGTGAAACAATGTGAATGTGAGTGTCTCTTTGGATAATATATTCGTGGTGTTTAATTTAGAAAACTGTGTAATTTCTATGAAATTGAGCAATTCGATACGCTGCAGATGTACTAATGACACAAGCATTGTAGTTCAAGCGTCAGTCGCCATCGCTCAAATGTTACTATTTTATGCATTTGTGTATGCAGGAATGATGGGATGCGAATTAATAAAAATTTCTTACCTCGATTATCGTGATCAAGAGTATGAACAGCGGTGGCGGACAACATGAATAACTGTCTGCATAATATTTCCGGTCTCGTTCCTCCGGTAGCACTTCCATTGCAATTACGTGAACCATTCTATAGGAACATTTTTCGAAGTGAAAAGAAAAAATAAAGAATGAACAAAAATACAATTAAAAAATTGATGGTAAAAAATTAAATATATATAGAAAGAAGTTAGACATAAAACGGCCAACTGCCGAACATAAAGAACAACGAAAAACTGCACATTACTGCTAACGAAGAAGCAAAGTGCTTCGGTATGGTGCGGAATTCTTTTTTCTTCTTCTTTGGATTTCGACGCCGCGATTTCACATTATAAATTGAAACATATCATGAAACATAAATACAATGTTACATGCACGGTTATAATTCATTTAATGAGTGTGCACACACATATTGTGTGTATTGGATGGTGTGCGATAATTATATTATTAGCTCGACGTTTCCACTGTACAATTTTTTTGTTACTGTTGTTGTTTTTGTCATTATTATTGCGTGGAATGGATTTTGGACAAAAGCAGTGCACTTGGATTTGGGCGAGAGAAGACAAATTCGCGCATAATACTTGAAAAATTGGGGAAAAAATGAAACCAACATGAGGAGCAAAATGAAAAACAACGTCAAGTTTCATGCAACCGTTTCGGACAAGTTTTATGAACATTATGTTGTAGTCAAGGCTCTAACATACCATCAGTTAAATATACCGTTACACCTTGAACAACACCAAATTGATTACAAAAACTGTGTTTAACACAACAACTACTTTACATTCATAATTATGTCTTCTTTCATTCATTTTTTCATTTTTTTTCGTCGTAGTCATCATCGTCATTATTATTATTATTTTGTTTGATTATGGGAAATTGAGCCAAATACTGTTTGGATAATTTTATTAACAATTTTGTCATCATTGTCGTCCACACATGCACACACACACACACACACACACACACACACACACACACACACACACAAACACACAACAACAACGACAACGCGATGAGTATGCGAAAAAAATGATCAAAAAGTGAAATTGATTCGAGCGGTTCGTGGTACGTATGTTTGAACCTTACCTTTGAAATAGTGGTTGGTACTCGTATATAATATGAAAATCGTTTTCAGAGCAAACTTCGCGATCTCGATGATGAACAGCACACTTGAAACTGCGTGACCGCTTACCGCTCATCTGTAAAGATACAATGAAAAAAATATTTATTAAATTAAATTTGATAAATTTTCTACGGTACAGCAAAATAATAAATATATTGTTTATGGTAATCTATCAATCTATTCAGTCTAGTAAAGATGTTGTTGTTACAATTAAATTAAATTTGCTAAAAAAGCGCTCCAAAAACGATTGCAGCAAAACATGTACGCGTTCTAATGCACATTCGATGTAATCTCTTGAACGTGCATTGAATTAGATTAAACGATTATGTAGTTGGTATTTGAGAGATTGAGAATGTTTTGTGAAAAAAAAAGTTGAATTGTATAGAAAAAAAAAATATCCGAAGGACTTCATCGTAACAAAAAACAAAAGAAAGGTTGAACGTCTTGTAATGTGTGAACGCGGGCAAATGAATGAGAGCATTGGCATGCACCGACCATACAATTCAATGGAGTTTCTGTTTTCTCTATCTGTCTTGAATTCAATTTAATATCATGTTTCGCATTTGTTAAAGGCAAAAGTCGAAAGGAAATTGAGTGCTAGAAATGAGCACCGGTGCACGCACAATGCCATTTTGTAACAGAAACAAGTGCATACAGAAAAATGAGACCAAATGAGAAAAAAAACCGAATTCAAGACTTTGAACTAAATACTCGAAAAACAAAACTATTTTGTTTGTTTTATTGGTATGCGAAAAAACAAAGCCAGTAACATAGAAAATACAATGAACGAGCGCTCATTTGCTGCAATTACATCAGTATGACGGATTAAATGGTATAGGATTTTATGTTGCACGATTATAATGTGTTGTGTACGGAAAACTATGCGACTTCATCACACATACCGAGAGTCAAATGAGACACACGAGGCGCATTACCCAATTTCTTATTTGCATTCATCGGTATATTTTCATGGCACGCGATGTGCCATGGCACTACGTTTTGTTGTTATTTTTTTATTTTATCTTCATGCCACGATTTTTTTGCCGCTGTTTATTCTATGTGTGCGCGCAATTTAACCCTGCTAATGAATTTGTTGTTTTTTTTTTGTTTCTTTTATTCGACTTGAAATTCTACATATATACACACACAAACACAATGTAGCTTGCATAAAAAAGACACGAAAACATATATTGAAAAAGAAACCCGTAGCAATTCACGTGCTAAAATATGCTCATATCACTCATTCAAACGAGCAAGTGAACCGGAGAGCAAATAAGTATGCAAACGCGCACGAGGGTTTTCACATTTCACGATTTTGAATGACAAAACAAAAGAAATACTACCACATACGTTTACGTATACAAGAGTATAAACGAAGCCACTTTCGACTTGGAACATATTATTCCGAAACGAACGAAAGAAGCCTATAGAACATAATCCGCCAAACTATTTACTAACGAAATGAAGAGAAGAATAAAATGTGAATAAAAAAAGCAATTTGATATGTGAAAAATTGGAGTGGATTAATGTAAGAAATTTTTTTCTGGTCTTTTATAGAACACACACGACAACGAGTTTGAAAAATGGAACCCACCAACTTAAAAAACTCAACTTAAAGTTGAAATATTAAAGAAAATTGTGTAAATGAAATTGAAATATCGGTAATATGGGCCAAAATGTGTCCGATTGATTTTCGGTGGTTTTTGTGTTTGTCTGTTTGATGGTAGGTGAACATACCACAGTTCCTTGTCTTTACCTTTCATCGTTTCATTTGAACGGCCACCGGTACGTAATCGAAATGCACTAAATAAACAATTAATAATCAAATTAGCATATACATGTGTGTTGGGCTATTTCAATATAAAAAAATATTCCATGCATTCTTTCTCCTTCTCTCCGATAGCAGATCTTGAATTTCGCATCTAATTGAAAGTTGCAACAATGGGCACATTTTTTCAAGTAGTTTTGCATCGCATCGAATTCATTTCTCACGAACAGCGGTAGAGGGAGAAGGAGACGTTGTGGAAAAATATGCGATCCGCGTCACCGTTACCACACAAAGGATGCCATTCATTCTATTCAACGATGTGTGATCGGAATTTTTCGTGTATTTTGTGTTTTTGTTGTTGCTGCCACCGCTGTTGTTGATTTTTACCCGTGTTAACTATGAAAATACGGGACTTTTTTTATATTCAACACGCTAATGCGAATTTATTTGGCATTTGGTTTTTGTTTTCGTGCGCATAAAAAAACCCGAACAACTTACAAACACTCCATTTGTAGGTAAAATAGCATAATTAATATTATGTTATGCATTTAAAATAGTTTTGTTTGCGAGGAATGAATGTGTGAACGCCTTTGCCAAGAGAATTTACAACGAATGTACAGCGCTTTTCTTTTCTTTTTTTTTCTGAATACAATGCCAGCAGCAGTAGCAGTCACAATGAATATCTATATATCTGTTTGGCGAGGGTGTAGGTGTTATTGCATTCGGCAAAAACAAAATAATTAGTGAAAATGAAAATATAACGATGAAAAGTACGGCAAAATGTTTGTAAATTGGCTGGCAGACACCGTGCTTATAAGATACACATGCCGAATCGGTAAATGGCGAACGAAGCGATAGAAAGAGAGGCAGAGACAAAATGAAAATGAATTGGCCGATATCTTGCAATAAAAGTACACACAGTTTTTGAATTGCGTCTTGTTCAAGCTGTCATCATTAGCAATATATACTCGTTGAACAGAAGCGAGTGAGAGAACCTCCAAAGTCACATCGATAGAGCGAACGACAAGCGGCGATGATTCGACCACAAAATGAAAATACCACGAATGTGATCATATACAGTGAAAACAGAGAGTGCAACACAGAAAGAGAGTGAATGAATGATTGTGCGACAGAAAAAAAAAGAGCAATGTGGAATGAAATTAATGCAAGAAATTCAAAAAGCAAACAATAAAACAAACAGGAAAACAAAACAAACGATGGAAGCTCTCTCGCATTTTGGCTTGAACCACAAAGTGTTTGAGTTGGTGTACACACACACACACTTTACATGCGCGATCTACGATTCAACTATAATATACAATATCCCATACAACATTTTTCTTCATTTCATACAATATTACATATTTTTTCTCTTCTATTCTCTCGCGCGCACATTATATATGTATATGCTATAAATATTTCTTTTTTTATTTATTTTTTAAATATTTTAGTCTAGGTGAAAGGAATTCGTAGTTGTTCATTTGTTTTTATGTATGTAGACATTTCTTCCTATTCTTCTTCTTCTTCTTATTCTCACTCCAAGAAAATAAATGTGTGTATGGAGCGATTGTCTGAGCGTGAGATTCTTGCAATTGTTTTTTTTTTCTTTCCTCTTCATTTGTTGTCGTCGTCGTTGTTGCTGTTGTTGTTGTTGCTTTTATTTTAATATATAATACTGTGTTGTCTTAAAGAGGAAAGAAAGAGAATCAGAATATGGTGTAGTTTGGATCAGCAAGCGGGACATGGTTGTGCGCATTTAGTTGACTCAACGCGGACACTTAGCTAGCTAGTACCTGCCAAATGAAAAACTCTTTTAGAGTGTGTCGTTTATTTTCACTCTTGAGCTGCTTTCTTTCTCTTTCTCTTTCTCTCTCTCCCTCTCCCTTTCCAACGATTTGTGTGCGAGTGGTTTTTTTTTTGGTTTTCTGTGGTAATATTACAACTTGCATCCAAAAGAACAACCTGTTTGTCTATGTGGCTTTTGTTCGATTGAAAAATACACAAGAGCAAATATGCAAAACGAGAAAAACGACGATGATGTCGACGCCGAGAGAAGAAATGGCTCACCGAAATGAGAGAAGAAGAGATGTAAAATGGAAAAACATACGGAGTACAATCGTTCACTCGCTCGTGTGCACGTACACACAATGCATTCAGCACGTTTAAATAAAAAACAATTTATTCCACATTATTTTATTATTTCTGATATATTTATATTACGGATTGATAGTGTCTTTCATGTATTTTTCACATGCACTTATTACATGCTCATTGTAAGTATATTATGCGCTCGCGCGCTTGGTGGCACTCACTTTTTCCAATTTCTTAGTGTTTTCGTTTGTGAATATATGTGTGTATTTGTGTGTGTGTGTGTGTGTGTGTGTGATGCATAGTATTTTGCTTCTTTTCATCAAGTTTATTTTATTTTCTAACGGAATAATGTTGAACGTAAAATTCCGCAGAGCGGCTTACAAGAAAAACAAAATAAAAAAGACATTTTTGGGTGATTGTGGAATGCGTCTTTTTTCGTTTGATGTTTATAGTAAAATGGGATTGTATAGAAGGAAAAGTGTATAGATAACATTGTATAAATAGACAATTCCATTAGTATGACACACTGAAAACAATGAAAATATATGTGTATATATGGTATAAACACAGGAAATTCGAACAATCATTGGTCTAATTATCGGCGCAAGAATACCGCCATGTTCACTGCATATGTATATGCTATTTAATTAGTTTAACTTTTTATAGGCATAACACGATCTCGCGACGTCTATTTTTCTCATGCGTAAATTGAAATCCGCTAGCAAATAATCCAAATACCCGATCAAATAGAGCAATATGAATCCATAGCTAAACAAAAAAAAAGACAACTGTTTGTACTGTTGTGTAAAGTCAAAAGCAAAGAAAGTGCACACGAAATCGATCGATAATGACAACAACAAAAATACAATTGATGTCATAGATACACCACTCATCAAATTAAGTGAGAATATGAAGAGTCTCACATACGCAAGCGAGAGGAAAATACTCACATCGAGTGAAAGAGAGGCGAAAGACAGAAAATTCATATTTTAGTTCAGTTTTATTGGTATTTACATAAGCATGACGCACATAGGAATTTCGATTTGCGTGCACAAAGTCCGAAGTGTGTGCGCGAACGCTTTTTTTGCGCACATGCTGATTGAACGACAACAAAATCAATTTATTCGGATTTGGTAATTTTTATGAATTACTTATTCGTGTGAAAACTGAACGTCGCTTCGAAACTGTTTGTTTATTGTATTCGATCGAAAATGACC